TGGCTGGGGAATTCTGGGAGATGAAGTCCATACATCTTCAAACGGCCAAGGTTGAGAAACATTGGTTTAAACGAAGAGACAAACTTAACTGCCTAGGGTTAAAATGTGATGAAGGGACTGGCTACCTCTGTAGCCCACAGTGGGGAGCAGCGCGTTGTGAGGAAGTATAAAAGGAGGCCTTTTGACTAGGCACCCTGATTATGGGACGCCTCACCCCAGAGGCAGGCTGCTGGCTTAACTGCAGTGCCAAATGAAACCTTGACTGTTACAGGTGGGTTTTTTTGGGGGGGAGCTGCATTGTGACAGCTCAAGCAGATTGGCCTGTATCCTGGGTTTAACCGAGGGGGGGGGGTGTTTCATGTTAGTTGAGTTATTTGGCTGTTCTTACCAATGGTATCTGAGCCTGAGAGGTAGAGGATGACTGCCTCATTTAGCGACCATTCGCAGTTACAACAGTGATGAAGAAGTAACTTTACAGTCAATCCTTGCATTCACAATCGGCGCAGGTCTGTAAAGCAGTGTTTCTCAATCTCAGCATCTTTAAGAGGTATGGACTCCAGCTCCCAGAATTCCCCAGCCAACATGGCTGGCTGGGGAGTTCTGGGAGTTCCATACGTCTTAAAGTTGCTGAGATTGAGAAACACTGCTGTAAAGGAAAGGAAAGCTGAAGGGAGATCGTAAGCATAGTTGCAGTTTCACTTACTGACCGCTTTGCTTAATGACCAAGTTACCGGTCCCAATTGTGGTCGCTAAACAAGGACAACCTGTCATGCATTTTTTGCAACCCAAGGAAACCAACCTGCGGGCTTGTGGCTGAAACTTGCAGGGCTGTTCCTGAAGAAACCAATCTTCCTGGTTAGATTTGTATAGCTGGATCCATGGGTAAGAGTAAAAGAGGCCTTCTGGCTTCTGGAGGTTTTCTCCCAGGTTAGAGAAAAGAAGGAAATCTTATTGGGAGCCAGCTCAAAAACAGAGGCTCCCCCCAGCCTTCTGCCGCTGAGGCAGACTCACATATGTGTGCTCTGACATGTTTAAACTGTTCCAGTATCTGGAGAAGCAAAAAAGTGAGTGGATCTCAGAATGCCATTAGCTGGAGTGATCTGGACCGAGTCCCTTTGTATACCAAGATGCAGGTGCTACCTTTCTCACCCTTGGCTCGATAAACCACTGTGGATAGCAAAGCGTGTGTAAGGGGAGATTTCAGAGTTAGATTTACATTGCAGAGGTTACCAGGTGTTGCTGAATTGCAACCCCCTTGGCCTCAGCTATGGGAGCAGTGTTCAGGAATGCTAGGCTGTCGTTCAGCAACATCTGGAGAGCTTCAGGTTTTCCATTTCTCCTGCAGAGCTAAAGTATAAGAGGTTTAGAAAGAGCTCTGTGACTTGTTTTCAAAATCCATGCAAATCAAGCACCAGGTCAATAAGGAAAAGGCAATTTGTACCAGGCCCTCCTGATTACCTTGGAATTAGAGTCACAAGGCCTCAGTGGTTCAATCAAAGTTACTAAGTAGGATGCAATTCAAGATAATTGTTTCCGGGAGCTGACTCTGTTGCTTGTACAAAGTCCTCTGGCCAGACTCAGTTGGGGAGCTTCCACAGTGGGGGGAAGTGTGTATAGGCCAGTGTTTTTCAACCGTGGCAACTTTAAGATGGGTGGACTCCAACTCCCAGAATTCCCCAGCCAGCCACTTAAATGCAACAGAAAACACTTCAGAGCGCAAAGGGAAGGTGGGTGGGAAATGTTGTGGGAGGCCAAGCACAGGCAGGAGCCAAGAGTTGCAAACTGAGGAACTGCTTTGGGAAATGGAGCCAGTTGCAAAGTTGAAAATCAGAACTGATCAGAAGATCGTAGGCTGCCAAGAAGGAGATCCTGGGAACACAGATCTTAAGCAAATTTGCTAACACTTACAATAGACCAGGATTATGAAGAGCACCTGAATGTCTCCCAAAAGGAGCTTAACGGAAAGATTTCAGGAAAAAAAAATGA